TAAATGGAAGGTTTTCTCATTCCCATGTGTGTAGGAATCAATTTTTTTAAAAAATAAAATTAACAAATAATAATGAAAAATAAATATATATTATATATGATAAATCATGATTAAAATATATTAAATAAAATTATTTTAAAAAAAATCATATAAAAAAATTAAAAACTTACTTTTATTTATTTTTTAATTAGATATATTAAATACTTATATAAAAATAAAACTAAATAAAAATATATTATTTTTTATATAATTAAAATATATTACTTTTAAGAATATATTATTTTTTACATATAATTTAAAAATATATTATTTTATTTTTATATATTATTAAAAATATATTATTTTTATATTATTAAACAATATATTATTTTATTTTTATATATTATCAATAAATCATTTATATATAATTATTAAAAGTATATTATTTTTTAAAACAAGCTTTTATTTATTTTTATAATAAAAAATGATAATGTCATCTCATTCCAGTCTTATTACTTCTGCATACCAAACGCATCAATGACAAAACATGTTTCATTCCATTCGCATAATTATTTCATTCCTACGATATTCCATTCCATTATACCAATCATGCCTTAAGGTTAAAAGTTAATAAAAGAAAAATGTGCTATTGTCACTACTAATGGTGCAAATTAATGGATCATATTTGCAATTCAGTCAAAGGGATATTGCACTGTTTATTATATGCAAAGTAACCGTTGAAATCAACTCATGAACATTTTGGTTTTCCAAATCATATATTACTGAATCATATTTCCTTATCTGGAATATTTCATGTTAATTCGAAATTAGTTTTACACCGTGTATTTGCACGAAAAACGATATAATAAAAGAGAAAGTAATTAAAAATATAGAAGAAAATAAAAAACATAACTTAATAAATAAGAAAAAAATAATTTTAAAAAGTAAATCTAAATATTATTAAGTACTTTTTTATATACAACGTTCATGATTTTCCTATCGTCAGAATCCCCATCACAACAAATCATTTATCGCTAAACTTCTTCGACTCGTAACTCTGAGATTTGATTTTTCAAAATATTTGATGTACCTTTGTAATATCCTAAAAAATATTTTTTTATTATTATATGACTTCAATAGTAAATAGAGCTATTTGTAGTCATTCTTAATTAGTTGTGAAATATTTATTTATATAATACCAAAAAATATATAGTATCAAAATAAAACAAAAATATTTTGTATTTCATGAAGACGTTACAGGAATGGGCACCATCCAAAATAGGACTTGTATTCAAAATAAATTGTGTAACTGAAAGTTAAATATTATTATTAAATGGTGAACATATTTTTATTAAATGAACTCCTATTTTATTAAATGAACTCATATTATTATTTATTGATGGCTGAATAAAATTTATTGAAACTTGCCAGCAATTATATATATAGATACCCAATTTATTAATATTTACAGACACAACTTTATTTCTTACCTGGTAAATTATATGAGATAAAATTTTCAATGGGTTCTTTTGAAAAATTGCTTTGACAATTTTGATGCAAGAACATATAAGTTAACTAAATAAATATAAAGTAACTTATAACACAAAGAATATTTGATGTTGTAATTATATAACAATTATGTGAAGAGTTATAGAGTTATATGCAATTGTGCTATATACATTTAGGGTAGCAATATTCACTATACCTTTGTTAGCTAATTGGGCTTAGTTCTGCTTGTATATCATAGATTTGGAATTTGTTCTATTTTTTCACTCTGTTATGTGATCGAGTATCTAATTCTTTAAAAAATATACTACAAGGTGGATTAATATAGACTAAGTTAAAAAAGTCGATCCGTTACTTTTTGAATAAGAATATATATTTATAATATTATATTATTGATATTATATTTTTCAGATTGAAACATTAATCCTACTGAATAATTTTATTTAAATTTTAAACACTAGTCTCATTTTCCACCTAGTTTTCGTAGGATGATTATGTTTTGATTCTAATGTTGACCTATTTGCTGCATTTTTTTCCACCTAGTCTCATTTTCTGTTGACAACAGAACATGTGGGAAAATTTCAAAACTAGTCCCACAGTTATAGGGGGGTGACAATTTTGGTCCCAATGGAATGCAGAAAATATGAATAGTCCCACAACTTTTAAAAAATGATCAAAAGTAGGACTTTTTCGCCGGATTTACTATTTCCGGCCCGGAACGCCACGTGGCATCCGACGTGTTCATATTCTTTTACAAGTTGTGGGATTAGTTTTTAATTTTTTGCATTCCATCGGGACCAAAAATGTCACTCCTCTAAACTTGTGGGACTAGTTTTGAATTTTTTCCTATCTAGGAAAAAATTTAAAACTAAGCCACGTGTGCGCCATGTGTGCGCCAACGTGTAAAGAATAAGCCACGTGTGCGCCACGTGGCGTTCCGGGCCGGAAATAGTAAATCCGGCGAAAAAGTCCTACTTTTGATCATTTTTTAAAAGTTGTGGGACTATTCATATTTTGTGCATTCCGTCGGGACCAAAATTGTCACCCCCCTATATCTGTGGGACTAATTTTGAATTTTTCCCCAGAACATGTTATCAACTTTTTTTTTACCTCTCAAACCATAAATTCATTAACTAAAACTCATAAAAACAACATTCGGTAACCAATAGATTACAAGTAGAACCCTAATCAAGATATAACCCGACTAAGGACTAACCACGGGGGCTAAACCATTAAGATTTCCCCTAGACGACCACAACGGTCACCCTAACCAACATACAACAGACAAAAAGTAAAACAACTAGATTTACAAGGAAACAAACTTCACAGACCAAAATCTATCACACAAGTTATAAATATCAGCAACAACAATGTTTAACAAATTATTGGAAAGATCCCTGTTTGTAAGTTTCATGGCCTGTTGAATTGAGATAGATTTTTTTTTTATAGTTTTTTTCTAGTTATTTTATAAATAAGCACGCCTTAAAATATTAGTTTGTATCTTTTTTGTCTTGAATCTCACTATTGTAATTAACAAATTTTTGTACCAGCGAGTCATTAGACAAGTCAACTCATTATAGTTTACAACAAAAATGCATAGTTATTTTATTAAATGTCATATTTATGTTGTGTTATTTTTTAAAATATGACATTTAGTGCATGCTTTTTATCAATATTTTTTGCTTTGATTGATTTTTTTGGTTAACAATAAATAATTTTGAAAAATAATTCGGTTAAGTTAGGTTCTAGTGGGATTCTATGTTTGTATTAAAATAATATTTAAAATAAAATGATTAAAGTTAATTTGATGTAAAAAATAAGAGAAATGTGATTGAAAGTGATAGACAGTTAAATAAAGAGAGTGAGTTAATAATAAATTAAAGTTGATGTGATGTGTAGATACGATTGATAGTATTATTTAATTATAATAATAATAATAATATTGAGGATATGAGTTGAGTTAAATTTTAGTTGAGATTGAATTTTTTGGTTCATATATTATAAATAAGCAAGCCCTTAATTTTAAAGTTTCTATATTTGTTGAAAATAATATAGTTGCCTAAAGTATAACTCAAATTTTTACATTTTTACCAATATAATTGAAAAAAAATTATACTATATGTTTTGAATAGTAATGCTAGGAGTCAACTGTTGGTTCCATAACGGAGCCAACAATTGGCTCCTTAGCATTACTGATGCTTTGAATCATAATGTGAAGAAGTTGCAAGACAGTTATATAATAAATTCATAATAAATCAAGAATAAATGCAGGTCCCAAAGAATCACCTTAAAAGTGGACTAATTGCAACATAACATGTAGGAATAATATATATATATTTATATATCCCAAAACTATTTATTTTATTTGTTATTACATATACTAATAAAGTTAAATGAAAAATTAGAAATGAAGTAATAACAATTAATAAATATCTTTGGGAAGCCACATTTTTTGTGGGTCATTTTGGTATTGCCCAATAGTACCGAAGGTTTAGGAAATGTTGTGAAATTGTTTGACAATTTGTTTGCGTCTCAAGATTATATGTCACAAAATATTGCGTTTGTGTTTCGTAAAACACAGAATAGTAAAATCTTTTCTTTTATTTTTCATTTTACTAAAATTTGAGAGTTGGTTAGCGTTAGGGGCTAGTGTTGAGTGATTTGACCAACTATTATATTAGGAATGTTACAAGGTCTTTGATTAAATGGGTTGATAATATCGTTTAATGTAAAAAATTACAAGAAATATTTGTGCAATTAAACATTTTTCTTCATGTCACTATTATAATTATTTTGGAAAATAATAGTTATTTGTGGTTTCAATATATACTAAAAAATAATAAAATAACATAAATAATAATAAACTTGAAGCAAAGATTTATATATGATTCCAATTTGTATTATATAAATGTATATATTTCCATATGCTCAACTTTTTAATCACCAAGTTAACACAGAAATTATTATATATAATCATTATAATAGTTGAATTATTATATATATATATGTGTATGTATAATTTGTGATCGTAAAGTATCAGTGAGTTTGAAAAGCAAGTTCTATTGAACGATCATTCGACCAATGATGCTTTATGGATTCGAGTATTGGGCTACTAAATATGAAAATGATTAAAAACGTGAGTGACAGAGCTGAAGATGTTGAGATGGATGTGTCGGCATACTAGGTTAGATAAGATTAGAATGGAAGTATGAGAAATAAAGTTGAGGTGGCATCCATAGAGGAGAAAATGAGAGAATCGTGATTAAAATGATTTGGGCATGTCCGTAGAAGAGACTTCGAGGCCCCGGTGAGAAGGGTAAAAATATTAGAATTAAAAATGCAAATTAAAAGGGAGAGAGATATACCTAAGAAAACTTAGAAGAAAACAATAAAAATGATTTAGAATATTTAAATTTATATGATGATATGTATTTTGATCGAGCATGATGGCAACATGTGATCCATATCACCTACCTCACTTAGTGTGATTTTAACGACTTGTTATTATTATTGTAGCAAACGTGTAAAACAACATTATGTTAACCTCGTTAGTAAATGAAATACACGGTAAAATAACAAGAAACAATATCAACAAATAATAAGTAGCTATGATAATAATCTCATGAAAACAACTCACTCCTAGTGGAGTTTCAAATACAAAAATAAGCTCCCAAAAGAATCCAAATCAATGTATAAATCAAGTGCAAGCCACAAAAAAGTCCAATATCCTATGCCCTAAAAATGCAGCCAATAGATATTATAAATGGGCCGGGTCTCCAAAGTGTAAAGCCCATACAGAACCATTAAAGTAGCAAGTAGAGGAAAGCCCATCCCATAATAAAGCTACCAAAGATCTTAGGCGAGGCCCACTGTGTATTTGCTCCACTCTGCAAATAGAAATTTAAAGATTGAAAAATGGTAAAATGTAGTAACTTGTATTACAAAATGCATATAAATGCCCCTACTATTTCTAATCCATGGCAAGAAAAAATTGCATCATAGAAAGAACAAATATAATAAAGAAATGCAAAAATTAATCAAAATTATATCTTTTAAATTACATATTAATATTAACCTAGACTACTCCCATGATCCTAGAAGTTAGCAGTTGTTATTTAACTCAGATCATTTTGGCAAACAAATGAATAAAACTCGTGACGAACCGAAATGTCTTTATTGAATGAGTCAATTCAAATAATAATTCCATTAGAATTGTCATTTTCTTGTCAATGTGATAGAAACCTGATCTACGGAGTAAAATATTTGAGTCATGCTATATTTTTAGAATGTTTTAGAGATTGGTTTATTGAAAATATATATGACAAGACAAGTATCCAACTATTTATTGCTCGTATTATTATATAATATTATCAAAATCAAGAATTTAAATATATATTGTCTAACATGTATTTCAGTAACTAGTTAGTAAATTAAAAAAATAACTCTATGCTTTCCCTCATTTGGTTCCTAACTAATTTGCAAGCATAAATTGTGTACCATGAGTAAATATAAGGCAGTAAAAAATTAACAATCGAGACTGAAGAGAATACAAGATGAAAACCAAAGAATATGTTTGTTAACCAACATAGGTTATAGCCTATTTAAATTGTTTATAAGCTTTTTATAGTGAAAAAAAAGTTGATCTGATTGGATATTTTCTTTTAAGTTTGAACTTATTTAATAAGTTTAATAGATAGTTTAAAAAAAATGTTAAAATTTTTTATTTTAGTGTACTTATCAGTTAATTTTATTAAACACTTTCATTATATCAGTTAACTTTTTAATATTAACTTATGATTTATCAACTATAGCTTTTCAATTAGAGTTATCCTGAAGCTTCCACATTTAACTATGAACAACTTTGCATGAAAATTATTCTAAAAATATAGATTTTTTCAATATGTGAAAAAAAAAAAAAAATCACTTGAATTATATACATATTGCACACATAGTTCATACAAGAGTTATGTGGTATAGATTAAGAATGTGTGTCCTAACCAAACAGGCAAATTACTTTTACACTATTTTTTTTTACCATATATTGGGGTTGGTTCAAATAAAAACTAAGTTTGATGTGAGAACCGTGAAAACCATATTTGATGCTATTTTTTATTGTGTATGGTGCTATTTTTAATATTGTGCTATCATTTTCACAAATATTAATAAAAATTTTATTGCTATTTTTAATCAAATACATCCTAATTAAAAATAGCACTAAAAAAAAAAATCAATCATAGCACTACATACAATTAAAAATAACAATTCTCACGGTTGTCACGTTAGGACTTGGTAACTCTTTCCTATTTATTACTCCTCATTTACTATAATGTAGTCCAATAAATTTAAATTTTCATGGTCACAACATACACGTGATACCTACATTATAATGGTCTTTAATTTTATCACATTATTCAATGGTGTTAAAAATTGTACCTGATCGGTGCCAGCCGGTGCAAGACCCAGTGGACTTTCTGCCGGAGATCCAGTCGGCGGAGCCGGAGGGCTTGAGAGAGACGGAGATGGCGACGCGGACATCGGGGGCGACGCTGCCGGAGACGGGACGGTGGCCGGCGGCGATGCTAGTGGGGAGGGCGTCGGAGCAGCCGGCGGCGGCGGAGTTGGGGCCGGAGGGGGAGGAGACAGCACCGGCGGCGGCGGAGACTGAGCCGGCGGTGGGCTCGCGGGCGGCGGCGAGCTAACGGGAGGCGGGGACGCCGGCGGCGTTGGGGTGGGCGGCGGCGTCGAGGCCGGCGGGGACGTGACCGCCGGAGGTGGGGACGTGGCGGCGGGGGGCGGCGTGGTGGTTGCGGGAGGCGGCGTCGAAGTCGGGGGCGTTTGGGTCGCCGGAGGCGGAGACGAGGTCGCCGGAGGAGTTTGTGTCGCGGGGGGCGGGGATGAGTTGGCGGGAGGGGCGGTGGTGGGCGTCGGAGGAGTAGGCGGAGCCGGGGTGGACGTCGGAGGAACGGGCGGAGATTGACCGGAGACGCCGGCGGCGGCGAGGCAGATCAGGGCGGTGAAAGCTAGCAGATTCGGAGACATTGTGATAAAATGCGCCGGGGGCGGCTATCGCGGTCTATCTCGGGTTAACGTGCGCCAGGAGAAGTGGGAAGTTTTGAGTTGGAAGAAAGCAGGGGAAACAGAGTAGGATATATAGAAGAACAAAATGTATGTACGAACTAAAATGGAGCGGCTACTTTTATTTATTTATTTATTTATGGTACTAACTAATAGTACAAAAAATGTATTTCTTATAGATTAAAATAAATTATGTTGTTAGTCGGTATAATAGTGAAATTAATCCATTCGTCTAATTTTTATAAAATAAAACTGTATATTAATATAATAAGATATTACATTTCAATAATTTTTGTTATATAGTCGGTAGTAACATAAGTTTAGAGATCATATTTTTCTTCACACAATATGACGTGGACCCGTCTCACATGACAATAATTTTTGTTATATAGGTAGTAAGCTAAATATTTTTGCAGGTAAATAACTTGTCTTTTACTTTAAGAAAAACAGAATTAATTATAAGATCAATATTTATCTCATGCGTGATTAATTGAAATTTGAAGGAGTGAAATGTTAAATTATGTTTCGGTGAACATCCCCAGATCATGGATTACAGGTGTGCTTCTTGGATGGGCCACAGGCCCACCACATGGTCATAATTGTAGGCCCAAATCCGTTACAATAGGCAATCAAATGATGTTTTGTATGGTTGGAATTTATTTTAATTTAAATAAAACAAGAAAAGGACTGAACATAAGGAATACTATGCTTAGACAGCAATTTACCAGCTTTATGCTAATCATTTGCTTAATGAAATGATTATTGCCTGTTAGACAGTTGACACGTCTCTCTATTCAACTCATTATTTCATTAAACACATAAAAAATTACTTCATTCATTTATTTAAATTTATTTCTTGTTTTAATTATATTTTTCAATATAATTTTTAAAATAAAAATAATAATTAAAACATTTGTAATATTTATTATTCTTCCACTCATAAATTTATAATCGCTAATCATTATTTTAATATTTCACTATTTACATAATGATAAATTATTATTTTTAACATCACATTCCTTTGTTTGAATGAATTATTATTATTCCTTTAACTTCCTTTCACTAACCCTTTTTTCTTCAACAAATATAGTCGGTTCCACTTATGTACGGCTATGAATGAGAATTATATATAAATTGTAGTTTTTATTATATTTTCACTATAAGATAGGTAAATCTATATATATATATATATAATTGGTGGCAAGCTTCAATAAATTTTATTCAGCCACAATTAATAATAATATGAGTTCATTTAATTAAAATAGGTGCTCATTAATAAAAATATATTTAACATTTAATAAAAATCTTTATGACTACCATTCAAATGACAGTTACACAAGTAAACTTTATTATTATTAACCTTTTATTCTGTAACAACTTTACAAGATTTTAAATTTTCCGAATATATAATATTAAATTATATTTTTACTAATATTCCTATTTTGTATTATAATTATAAATAACAAAAAAAAACTAATTTATACGGAAGTTAAATAATTTATATTTATATTATACATTTACATATAGTCAAAATTTTAATATGTAATATACACTTTATCTAATTTAAATTTTTAAATATCACATACGTACATATAGTATATAAAATTTTATTTCCCTCTGTGCATGTGCACAAGATCAAATACTAGTTTATTAAAAATGTACGGCTACCAACAACATCTTTCTTTTATGATATTTTCAATATTAATGTCTGTAAATTTATTAAAAATGTATGGCTATGAGCATCAGCCTACCGTTATTTAATTTAATATAACATATTCTTCTTAGATATATAAATATCTAAGTTGATAAAATAGTTTTGTTTCGAGATATATCTAAACAAGTAATCTATATTACCAGTCACAAAATGTACGATGAAGAGTGACTGGAAAACCAACATGCAAGAATATTGATGTACGCAACATATCGCCGAATTGGAAAGGGACATTGTTACAATTTACAAAGGCCAAAAATCGAAAAATTAGGGTTGTTCTAAATTGATCTAACCAATTAGACGTTACACCTTTTGAATAAAGTACGTGATTGAAATACAATACTTATAATAATAATAATTATAATGTAAGACAGTCATTTGGTCCCTTTTAAAAACTAGGACACGTTGATGTACAATGAATGAAATATGTATTTTTGTGTAAAAAGTTTTATGCTAAACTCATACTAACATGCTTAATAAATTTCATTCTCTTGATTTTGAGAGTAGAACCGAGCTTGAACTCCTGATATTCGAGGTCGAGCCTTTGTCGAGTTGAGTTTAGCTCGATTTGTTAAGTTAAGAAGCTCGAACCTAACTAGTTTATCAACATTAACGAGTTGAACTATAAAAACTGCATAAAAAAAAATTATTTTCAAATCTTACCGAGTCGAGTTGCTCAGACCGTTGAGTAATCGTGGATAAAAGAGATGAGGTCAACTAAACCCAATTACACCAATTTTTATCATATCTTAATTTATTGACTAAAATTGTTGCAAGACATGCCTAATGGTTGACTAATCATACATTTTCTATATAAATGCATGTTATGCCATAAAACTGAAATGTCATATTTTAAAATATAATAAAAATAAAGTTGTGATATTTTATAGAATAAATATACATTTTTGTTAAAATTTTACGATCCGGATTTTAAACTTATAAGGAAATTTAACTAGGCAAACATGTGGAAAATGATAAAAAGGAAAAAAGATGTGGACCAATGTGTAAAATTAACGTTTGGCGTGGATTAAAAGGAAAGAGGAAAGGGCCAGTTAGGTGTAACAATCGATTGATGTGCCTAAAGTGCAAATGATCAGCACATATTTACCCACCAACGT